TAATCTGAAATTCTTTCTAACATATCTGTGCGATCCAAACAGTTGACTATTGTTCAAAGGCACTATGGAGACTAAACATCTATATCAATTCATACACAATTTTTCTAAAATGAAAACTCCACAGTGAAATATGTTTGATGGAGCATTTATGAACCTACAACCAATTTTTTCTAAGTCCTTTTGCAGGAGAAAAATTTAAAGTGATGGAACAAAGATGTACCAAGCTATGTTATTCATTCAGGATGCTAAATGACCCAGTGTACATTACTCCATAGCGGAGATTTACAATGCACAATCAACACACTGAGGATGCGTCAGAAAAAATAAGTAAGTATGCCAAGGGCTTAATCATGACACCACTTTACATTTGTACAGAACATTCTAGTTTGCAAATCTCTGATGTCTATAATCTCATTGACTCTATATGTTCTTCAGTTTAAGTACAACAGGTATGAGTCACTCTGGATAGGAAGAGCTATGTAATAAAGTGGTTAAGAGCATGGAAACTTGGAGCCAACTAAATGGTTTGGAATCCTAGTCCTGTCACTACGTCTGTGATCCTGAGTAAGTTATTCAACATGTCTGTACCTTAGTTTCCTTATCTGGGAAATGGGATAATAATCACTTTTATCTCTTGGGTCTACTAAGGATTAAACAATTAACGTGTGTCAAGACACACTGCCGTCGAGTCAATTCTAACTCACAGCAACCCTGCAGGACAGAGTAGAACTGCCCAATAGGGTTTCCAAGGCTGTAAATCTCTATGGAAGCAGACTGCCACATCTTTCTCCCACAGAGTGGCTAGTGCATTCGAACCACCAACCTTTTGGTTAGTAGCCAAATGCGTAACCACTGCACCACCAGGATTCCTAACATACGCAAGCACTTAAAATACTGCCTTGTACAGAGTAACCATTATACACACACTAGCTCTTAGCATGAGCATCACTGTATGGATAAGGAAACTGAAGCTAGTAAGCCACAGAGCCAGGAACAGAAACCAAACCCTCTTTCTTCTCCCATTTGATGCTCCATCCACAAAGGGTTGTTGTTTTTTTTAAGTATTCTAAGGTTTTCTAGACTGACATAAACAGTCTAATGTGGATCACACAAATCAAAAGATTCAGTAGCTGAAAACATTTATAATGTTGTATTTTAATCTATGTTTCCATATATTTTTTAGGTTAAAAAACCAGCTGCCATCAAGTCGACGCCAACTCATGGTGACCCATGTGTGTCAAAGCAGAACTGCACTCCACTGTGTTTTCAATGGCTGATTTTTCAGAAGTAGGTCGCCAGGCCTTTCTTCTGAGGCACCTCTGGGTAGACTCAACTTCCACCCTTTTGGTTAGCAGCTAGGTACATTAAATCAAATGTTCCCTTTGGAAAACAGAACTGGACACTAAGTAATAGTTACCTGTGTTGCTGTACCTGCAAAACAAAAGTCTTTTGTTTCACTTTTCAACAGACAAAAAAGGTAACAAACCTGTCAGATCACATCATGCTAGTGTGATGACCATTACCTCAAATTCTTTATCAAATAGAAAAACCTCGAAGTAAATACATGAAGATGATGATAACGACTTTTTTGGTTGTTGTTTTGTTTACAAAACATTCAGTATTGTGATGTAACATTCATAATTTTAAAAATGATGTTTCTAAAGAAAGTTTTTCAAGGATTGAACATACAATTGATAAAAGAAATATTAAGAATTAATGCTAGAAAATAACACATGCTCAGCTGAAACTGCCTCTTTCTTCAGACATGCTTTAGGTGTTCTTCTTCAGACTTTGTTCGAACTTTTTCCCTTGAGTGGTTTAGGTGGCTGTGATAACATCTTCCACTATATCTAAAAATAGAGCATGAGTGAGTTGAAATGCAAAACTGGCAGAGGATGTCCAAATTAGAAAATTAAATCATTTAGTATAGTCTACCATAAAAATAAAGGAGCCCTAGTGATGCAATGATTAAGCACTAGGCTACTAATTGAAAGGTTGGTGGGTGGAACCCACCCAGTGGCTCCACTGGAAAAAAGACCTAGTGATCTGCTCCCATGAAGATTACAGTCTTGGAAACCCTATGGGGCAGGTCTACTCTGTCCTATAGGGTCGCTATGAGTTGGAATCGACTCGACAGCACACAACAACAATAACCATAAGTTTTTAAGCAATGATACCCCTATACTTTGTATATACAAACAATTTTAATTCAAACATCTTTAACCTTTTCATAGTGAAGAAATGTGAACTTTTTAGCATTCTCAAATATGCCAAATCGCACAAGAGATTAACCTTGGGCAAAGCACTCTTCCACTCCGGTCCTCAAGTTCCTTCTTTCAAAAATAAAGAGAAACTAGAATATCAGTGGTTCTCAACCTTCTTGCCATTCCAGCACTTCGGAGGGATTCAACATCTCTCCATTTACAGACGTGGGGACAGTCTGAAAATATCCTACAGGTGATTCTGATACACCATCCTAGAAGTTGTGCCCTGCTCCTGCCCTCTTGAGACTCAGTACACTGGAGGGTTCTTTGAGGTTCTGCACAGTTCTAAAGCCTGCCACTTTTGATACAGTAAGTAAAATTACAACCCAGTGACCTAAAGTTATATGACAGTGTTGCTTTAACGGGCTTAAAAAGAAAAGGTCAAAAGTTAGTAAACATCTTCATTTACTGGAATATGCAACAGTCAAATAATAATTTGTATAGTGATGGCCTCAAAGAGGGCTTTGTGACCATCCTCATGGCAAACAGCATACCCTACCCTGAATCAGCATCTAATCAAGGAGGTGGGCGGTCAGGGAAGAAGAGTAGGGAATCAATCAAAATAATCCCCCCTGGGTTTGAGGGAATGGTTTGAACACATAATTAATACAAAGGAGATCTGTGTAAGTCTATCTGCCTGATAACAGAAAAAGGAAGCCAAAGACTGACACATGGAGATGTGAGGTTATGTGATCCCAAGTGTCTCCTTCAAAATAACAATATGACACAGGCATGACATCAGTTCTATGTAAATGATATTTTTGTACAGGACAACCAGGTTATAAACTAATAATAACTGTTACTAAAATTATGATGTGAGCATATGCCGTATTAAAAATATAAATATAAGCCAAAAACAGTGGTTCAGTATGGTAACTGACAAGAGTTACCCAGTGTGATACTTACAACTCCTTATTTCTTTGAATAGCCACTTATTGTGATTCCACAGTACTTAAAAGCTACGGTACATGCAATGTCACGTGAAAAATTCTCACAACTAGGAAAGAAGAACATTGAGTTTCAAAACTTCCTTGAAAAATGTATTTGATCCAAATGCGAACTACTACCATGTAAGGTATGGCAAAGATGCTGACTAGAGTTTCAAAATTAGGATTATCTACATGAATAAAAAAATGTATAATTACATCATCTTCAAATCTGAAAACATATTACTCAATAAATGCTGATTGTTACTTGTTTTGTAGTGAAATGACCCTTACATACACAATCACAGTGATCCACAGATTTGGTGTTTGAACAACAGAAAAATGGCTGCATCTAATTAAGTTGCTGTCCTCTGTGCTTAAGGATGTTACCAGTGGTGACTCAGAATACAACGTATATATCTCCATCACTGCTCTAGCATATATAACTAGTAAACAGCTGCCATTGAGTCAACTCTGATTCATGGCAACCCCATGTGTGTCGGAGTAGAACTGTGCACCATAGAGTTTTCAGTGGTTGATCTTTCAGAAGTAAATTTCCAGGCATTTCTTCCGAGGCACCTCTGGGTGGACTCAATCCTCCAGCCTTTCATTAGCAGGTGAACGCCTTAACCATTAGCTCCACCCAGGGACTCCAATGTACACTACTGACTGTATTGATTTACGGTTGAAAAGTTGATAAAAATTCATTTACAAAACACGCTGTCCGCTGTTGGCTTAACTTGCTGAATGCACCCCCGGTTTAAAAATAAATTCTCAGTATTCCTAACATGGACTATAACTGTAACACCTAAAACTTGGGTTAGTGAACAGACCCATAACCCAACAAGAAATAAAAGTGAACAGAAAGAAAATGCCCAAACCCCAAATTAGTAAGATGTTCACATTTGAAACAGTAGCAATAAATAACATGCAAGCGAAGACAACTCCACGCACAGAATTGGAATGGATAAATATTTGTTAAATGAATATATACATTTCTTCTTCATTCTATACCCATGTGTCAAAGCATCAAACAATTTAATTTGTGGCAGTTTCTGTTGTATTTCGAACTTTACATATAAGTTTATCACGGGGAAAAAAATCCTGTTTGGCTTGAGTCACCGTGAATCACAGCCAAGAGGTCATCTTGTTGTGTATTAGCAACTATGTTTTCACTACAGCTATATGACCTCAAGTGGCAGCAGCAGAGGCACCAAAATAGAAGGGGCAGGAGGAAGAGACTGGCTTCTCGGCCCCCAAACGGGCTCTTTCAGCCCATTCAGGCAACCGAGCAAGAGCCAACCGCAGAGGAAAGAAAGAACAAACCCAATAGTCAAAGGAGAAAGGCTGCAGGCCCACCACACCTTCCTAGCCCTCTCCAGGAGCCCAGAGAAGCAAGAACATAAAAGAGGACGGGCATACGAAACAGCGCGGAGAAAACAGTATGACAGGAGCCAAAACTAGCCCGGTGTAGGGCAAAATCCAGCCGTGAGCGTGAGGCACAAATTGTGGGGAAGGGCTGGAGATCGAGGAGGATCTCCAGCCGTGGGCTTCGGGCGCAGCTCCGTCGCCAGCGCGCAGCGGGTTCCCTGTCTCCAAGCATCTCCGGCCACCAGAGACCTGCCGCTGCTCCCACCTCACCTGTCCGGTGCCCGCTGACCCCGCCGGCGCCGCCGAGCCCTGGCCCCCAGCCTGGCCCACCCTCCCATCCCGGACCCTTCCGGCGCGTCTCTCGGGACCCTCGGCCGGGTCGGCATGGGCAGGGGGCCGATGCCCTCCCCGCCGCCCCAGGCCCGGCCCCGGCACTCACTTTCTGAATCCGCTTCAGCGCCATGGGTCAGGGAGGGCGGCGGGGACACCGGCCAGCGGGGGGCGGCTGCGGGCTCGGCTTGCTGGCTGCTCGGCTGGCTCAGCCCAGTGGTTCCCCGGCTCGCCGCTCGCTGGCTTGCTCTGGGCGCCTGTGCCTCTACCGCCTGCGCCCGAGCGCGAGAGTGCGAGTATGCGGGCGGGGACGCCGGCGAGACTCTTTTGTTTCCGCTTTTGCTTCTGGGAAGGAGCCTGCGTCCTCTCCGCCTGCGCCCCGCCCCGCCTGGCACACTGGGAAGTGTAGTTCTGCGCCCTCTGCTCCGCTGCCTGGGCCAGGGACACCGCGGCCGCCTCCCTCCAGGCGCCGGCGGGTGACTAGCTGTTGACTTCAGCAGCGAACCCTGGGGTTGCGATAGCTGGGCCTAGAGTTGGTCCCTATAGTTTGACTTTGAGCAAGTCACTTAACCTGAGGTTCCCCATCTGTCAAATGGGGATAACAAATGAGCCTGTAAAGCATTTACAGGAATTTAAAAATCGTCATAAAGCTAATGCATTATCCAGTATGTGCTACAGCTGATCTTGTTATCTTTACAGATTTCGCTCTTTTCTAAAATAAACGAATTGCCTCAATTTCTCACTCCACACATGCACAACTCGCGCCCACTGGATAACTTCTTACTTTCCTCCTTAGCTCCTATTTCAGAGAAAAAAGGCGCCTCTTCTGTCTGATGCTAATTCCGTATGTCTGTTCTTGGAAAGAGACCAACTCTAGACCCGGCTGTTACAAGCTCCTCCTTGTAAATTACCCCTTCAACTCTGAATTCTTCTCTGCACTCTCGCCAATGGCTCCTTCCCTTCGTGTCACACTACCTGCTAAGCAGTCCACTCACACCCGCTCCCTCGACACCAGGAATTTGTGTACCCATCAAAGCTTGGCTTCTGCTTGATTCAGCACTAGTAGAATCAGTTTTCACCAGCATCACTCTTGAGTTTCTGACTGTTGACTCCAATTCACTCCTTATTCTTCATAATGTTTTTGCACCATTTGATTGCTAACCACCCTTTTGCTTTTCAAAATGCTTACTGCCTCTGGCTTCTTTCTATAGCACCAAGATAGTTGTGTCTTCTCTGACCTTCTCTTTTCTGTCACTAGCTCTTCTTATTAAGGAGTGCCCTAGAGTCCCAAGCCTCTATCCTCTTCACCATCAATATATTTCAAGGAGATAAACCTCCCATACTTCCATGAACTAGAAGGTAGCCCAGGCGGCTGGAGGAACATGGGCTTTGTAGAAGAAGCACTGCTATGGGTAAGGGTGGCTTATCCAATAGGCAAGGTAAGCACGGGTTTACTTGTGCTTACTTACTAATCTATAATGGTGAAACCCACGTGAAATTATTCTCTACAGGTTAGCAAGTAAGCACAAGTAAACCTGTGTAAACACATACTTACTTTGCTTACTGCGTCATCTGCTCCTGTCAGGGATTGCAAATTTGAAGAGGCTTTGATTCTGTAGGAACGTTCTGTGGGGTTAGGAGAGAGACAGATGCCAGCCATACTTAGAAACATAATCTTTGATGTGGTGAAAAACAAAGAAATTGTTCGCTACAGATGATCTGGTAAGCAAGGTAAGCTCTGTGCTACTTTGCCTATTAAATAATCCACCCCTAATCCTGGGAAGGAATCCCAGCTCTGACACCTACCAGCTGTGTGACCTTGGCCAAGCCATTTAAATGCTTTAAGCCTCAGTTTCCTCATCTTCCTTTCAATAGAGATGATAATCTCTAGATATGTTATCGTAATAATTAATTGGCATTAGTAGATGTAATGTGACCAACACAGTGCCTGATATATTGAAAGTGCTCTCTATGTATTATTTCCTTGCTTGTTTTTATCTATATGGTGATGACTGTAAAATCTCTTTCCAGCCCAACCTCTGACACTAGTTTAAGTCTTATATTTCCAAAAGCCTACTGGACATGTCTGCCTTCCTTCCCTGTGGCCAGGAGTCAGAGTCTGTTACTAGAAGCTAAGAGTGGAGACACCTTTCCAGGAAGCCAAAATTAATATCTACCATAGCATTCTAAAGGCTCACAAAGAACAAAGAACAGAAACCACTCATGTAACTTAAAAGAAAAAGTCCAGGGGAGTAAGATCATGGAAGAATGACAGAAATAATTAATGGGACCTGAAACTTAACTTGGAAGCCTCTTCTCCCCAAAAAACTAAGGGAATCTGGGGCCTGGCTACTCTCTTACTTTCCTTTTCATTGAGTTTTGCTTCTCTCTGCACATTGGCCCCACCCTCCTCTTCCTACCTCCTGCCTAGTTCTGTTACGCAGGTCTTAGCCTTCTCTCTACTCTGTTTATACTCTTTCAGTAACTGTCCCTGATGCTAAATGGCCAAGCCTTTTGGTATTCCGTAGTTCACATCTGCAAAAGAATCTCTTTGGTACAACTCATTATTTTACTCCAGGCTGTAAGTTGTAACCATTACCCGTCTGTCAGCTTGTTGTACTGTGATGGCTTTCATATTGCTACGGTTGTTATGCTGGAAGTCATGCCATCAGCTTTTCAAATACCGGCAGGGTCACTCACGGTAGACAGGTTTTACCAGAGCTTCCAGACTGAGACAGAGTAGGAAGAAAGGCCTGATGATCTACTTCCTAAAATTACTCAATGAAAACCCTATGCTTCACAACAGAATATTGTCTGATATACCATAATGCTGGAAGATGAGCCACTTAGATTGGAAGGCACTCAAAATACACAGTGGCCACAACAATTGACTTGAGCATTCCAACGATCATGAAGATGGTGCAGACCAGGCAATATTTTGTTTTGTTGTACGTGGGGTTACCATGCGTCGGAGCCCACTTGACAGTAACTAACAACAACAACAAGTTGTTAAGTAGTGGGCAAACTATGGGTTGATTGCCACTGGGTTAGGTGGCTACATATGGTCCAATCAGCTCTGTTCGATGTTTGAAAGTACTGTTGGGAAAATGGACTTCTGGGAAACATCAGGAAGATCTTATCTCCTACAGAGAGGTGTATTTGGACTATATTGATGTACCATTTCTGTACTCCAGAAAGAGGGACCCCAAGTAGTTATTCCCTTTTATAGCAGAGCATGTCCTTGTAAGTGAGGGTCCAATGGTCTAGCATGGGCACCCCTGGCTTTGAGGAGTTGCATTCCTATACTGAAAGCCTTGGGATATTATATGGGAAGTAGGGCCATATCCAGCCACTATCACTATGAGAAAGCACTAGTTGCAGGTAGACCACTGCAAGCTAACCCAGAAAAAACTTCCAGGGTCATTCAGTGGACAATCTTGGTCATCTCTTCATAGACAACAAAAACACACATTCAAGTAGGGGCTATGGATAGGTCAGTTTCATTCAAAAGGCAGTAAGGGCCCAAGAGTGGCATCAATTTCTACCTTCTCCAGGCCATCCTACATGCACACACATTGTGTCACTGCATTGCTTAAAACAATCTCTATTGTTTTGTATCACGGAAGTCCAATGCCTCAGCTTAGTGCAAAAGGCCCATAAAAATCTGGCCCCAAGCTCCTTTCCATCTTTAGCTCCACACATTCCAATTAATTAATTCCATGTACCTTTGCACACTGCATTCTCTCTGCATAGAATGACTTCCCACCATTCACCTGACAAACTCACACCATTTTCCAGATCCAACTCAAACATTGCATGCTCTTTGATATTCTCTTCTACCTATTCCCTGAGGTGGATTTATTAGTATTTATATTGTTCTTTTAATTCCAGAAACAATATGTTCATATTTTAGGGATATTCTTTTTTTCATGACTAGTTATCTCACTAGACCATGAATTCTAAGAAATTACAGAAAATGTCTTACTTTTTTTTAGCGAGGTAAAATTTACACAGTGAAATGCACAGATCTAAGTATAACACTTGATGAATTTTCACAGATGAATATACCTACGTAACAACCACCACAATCAAGCTATAGAACACTTCCGTCACCACAGAAAATTCCCTTGTGACTGTTTGCATCTCAGTAGAAGATCACTCTTCTGATTTCTATCACCATAAATTTTACTTGTTTTTGAATGTCATGTAAATGGAAAAATATAATAAATACTCTTGTGTTTGGTTTCTCTCACTTTTACTGTTTTTAATTACTGAGTAGTATTCTGTGGTATGAATATACTACTTTTTTTTTCCTTACCTATTCTGAAATTGATGAACACTTGGGTTATCCCCAGTTTGAATTGATTATAAAGAAAGCAGTTATGAATACTCTTGTATATCTTTTTTTGTTGACATACACTGATATTTCTTGGGGCTATCTTAGAATTCTGCCTACCACAGCCTCTATATGCCACCCCCATGTGAACGCACTCCTCATCCTGGTTGAGCTCTGACATCACACTCCGGGCCACTGTGTCTCTCCCAACGCTGGCAGAGACACCTCTCTTGCTTGGCCCCACCTGTTGTTTTTGGGTCTAAATTATTCAGGAAGGTAAGGAAAAAAAGAGGGAAGAGGAAGAAGATGAAAAAACCCCTCTAATATGTTTTTAGCTATTTCCTTTTACATATTTTTTAGTATTTGCTCTGTTGTTGTTGTTAGGTGCTGTCGAGTTGATTCTGATTCATAGAGACTTCATGCGCCAGAGTAGAACTGCCTCATAGGGTTTTCTAGGATGTAATCTTTACAGGAGCAGATCACCAGGTCTTCCTCCCATGTAGCCACTGGTGGGTTCAAACCATCAGCCAACCTTTCAGTTAGTAGCCAAGCACTTAATCTTTGTGCCACCAAGGCTCTAGGGATTAAAATATGCATCCTAAACTTATCAGAGTATATTCAGAGTTATTTGTACTACTTCACACAAAATGTAAGAACTTACAATGTGCTATTGTTGTAATATATTTTACATCTACATACATTATAAACCCCACAATACACGTTATAATCTTGCATTAAACAGAAAAAATGATAGCCTTTTATATTTGCCCACATATTTACCATGTTTATGCTTTTTATTTCTTCACGCAGATCTAAATTTTCATTTGGTATTATGTTTTCTTTCATCCTGAAGAAATGAAATCAGGGTGCTGGCTGAGCTGCATTCTCATCTGGAGCTTGGGGTCCTCTTCCAAGCTCATTCAGGTT